ATGTTCCTGATGAGTGTGTCTGCTTCATCTAGATCGGTCTTGATTGTGTGACAAATTACAGCTGGTTTCCGAAAGTGTGTCAAGGTCGGCAAGGGTCATCGTACTTCGGCTATTGTACTATCCACTGCTTAGATGTGTATATGGGAAGCCATTAACCTACTTATGGGGACTGTGGAAACCAAGCATGATAAACAGAGGCATGTGTTCTCAGTGGCGGGAAATGTATGCATTTCTTTAAGGCTGTGTATCGGCATGTGTGCCTGGGTGTCGCTGTACAAAACAACCTTAGGGCTACCTGAAGTAACTTAACTTTATGTTAAGGTATAGGACTTGCGATCACCTTGGCGTTGAGATCGCTTTGTACAACGGCACCCTGAACATGAGTGAGTGAGTGAGTTGGGTTTAACAGTATTCCAGTCATATCACGGCGTGTCAGCTTAATGTGGGAGGAAAGCCCGAAGTGATGCAGGTCTCAGACGTTTACCACTTCGGTGAAACCCACGAGCACGGGTATGGTGCTGACAAACCTAGAAACATAATCGGGGCGAACCGGGATTCGAACCCACAATCATAGGTTTCTGGTGTGCCCAAGGGACGCAACTCTGCGCAGCGAATCGTAGCGCCTTAGACGACTGGGCCACCGTGACCCCCCACCCCCAACCCTGAACTAGAGTCAGGGTTTGCATCTAGTATTCGTTATGACACAATGCTGTTGTATATATTTGAGTAAAGAGTATATTATTTCGTAATGTTCCGTAACAATTAAAATGAACACATCATACTTCATGTGATCATAATAGACTCCACAGGAGGAGAACGCTTCACTTGCCACGTTACCCACGGTTTGACAATTATATTATTGTAAACTTTCATCAATGGTTGGATGTGAATAAACCATTGATGCGCGAAGTGACGCATGGTTTAGCTGCTCATTAATATGAAAATAATTAATAATCCTACAAAAACAGCAATGATGAAAATATCAGAATATTGATTTGGGCTCGGAAGGGTAGCTGAAGGTTATCTGCCCCTGATATTACATCAGGAGTGACTTCCCTTGGAAAATCATATCCGGCTCGGAAACATATGACTGTGACTTAGAGCGGTCCTCCATTCAGTAAAGGTGAGGTGAGATAGGGTTTAACGTCGCGTCCAAGATTATTGCACTTATATAGCGACGTGCATGCACGTTTGTGTGTGTGTGGCTGCTTGTTTTAGTCCGGACTGATTTATAGTGATAGCCCTCTGAGATACCATGTCGCAGTTGAACATGACTACCCAAATCAGACAAAGTATACTGACTCCGAGCCGGCCAGTCCTTGTTTTAGCCCCTTAATGCCGAGCGCCAGACAGGGTAACAACAAGTACCATTTTAACGTCTTTTGGTATGACGCGGCTGGGAATCGAACCCCGGTCCTTCCGCTCTCCGGGCGGACGCTCTACCACTAGACCACGGAGGCGGTCCTCATTCAGTAAAGAGTTCCATGATACATCAGGACAGGGTTTCAACAATGAATGTTTATGATACGCCTATCCTGGTACCTTCTACGAATGTGGAATATATTTCATGTTACCCGTTATATTAGTAATACGATTTACGAGCAGACAAAATTTGAAAAACGTCGTATTTGACTAAATATACTCTAAGAATGATCCAGACCTGTACCCACAGCTTATATAAAAATCTTAAACTATTGATACTGGAGAAACGTCAACATACTATTTAGAACTACAAATAACTTTCAAGGGTGTACATGTTTACTTAACACAGAGCTCCATTCTGAACACGTTCCACTCCTGCGTATCTCGCTCTGTAGTCAGCTGCATCTCGCGAGATCCTACACCAAAACAGTTCCTATCATTTAACACAGATACCTCGAATACTTCAGCTGCAATACCAGGCTTCACGTTGACAAGAGGTATTCATACGCCGCGAGCTACATGAACGATGACGTTGGGTTTATATGTTGTGGTGGCCATGCTTCAAAAGGACAATCCCCATAAAATACACATTATTAGTAATAATGACTGCCTATTTTTGAAAATTGTTACACAATAGATAGATAGAGTGAGTGAGTATGGTTTTACGCCGTTTTAGCAATATTTCAGCAATATCACGGTGGGTGATACCAAAAATGGGCTTCACACATTGTACATGTGGGAAATCGAACAGGGGCCTTCAGTGTGACTAGCGAACGCTTTAAGCACTAGACTACCCGACCGCCCATTAGAATAACTAGAGGTCGCTAAGATTTGGGACGTAGATATCATACACCAAATGTATGACTGTGTAAGATTTGCATGTAAATGTTTCTCCCCATCAGTTCAGACTGTCAACTCCGGATAATATTCTAAGTGACCTGTAAAATCAATTCCTATTCTTCGAAGTTCGTATTTACTTGAGCAATGGCGTCAATTTCAACTGTGTTCGTAACAGCCGTCGCTTCGCTATATCTAGTGTGGAAATAATGATATTGGATGTTGGAATTCGAGTTAGCAACAGCTGTTTCTTGACTTGTGTTAGCTTAATGACTATAAGGAAACTAGTACATATTTTGACACAGAACACAAAATACATAGGAGACGGGACAGCACTATACACATATTCAACACAAAATACACCAGCGGACACTTAGAAGATATTTTTTGGCCGAAAAGTCGTCTTGAATTTGGCGTCATACTGGTTAAAGTTCAGGAACAGTTTCGTTAACTCGAAAACATTTCCTAAAATGACATCTTAGTTAGAAACAAGCTGCAATGCAGACATTACGTACATGAGACGTGGATTGAGAGCCGTCATTTACGTGTTCCCACTGTGATAACTTGATGGTATATAAACAGTTCCTCGGTATAAGAATACTACAAAAACAAATTGGGCGTTTTCTCGTTAATACCAAACAAATCATCTCTGAAGTTTGGTTTTGTGGACCGCAAGACTTGTTTGGACGACTTGTGATCATTTAAGCTCGAAAATACTCCTCCGACTTTAAATGATAAAGCGCTGTAGTTCGTTGTGCGAAGTTGCGGCCTGGAATGTGATCATGAGCTGTGATCCGGAGTTTGCCAGACGTATACACTGGCTCCGGGGTTTTACCAAAAGCGGGAAATAAATACAACATGGAATTTCCTCCCACATCAAGCTGACACGCCATGACGTAACTGAAATACTGTTCAATACGGCGTTAAACTCGACTCATTCACTCTTTTATTGTATTGAAACGTCAAAATATGAATACATGGATATGCTTGCTTCGTTGCGATATCAACACAAACGATAACATGGTGGGTGTGACAAATATATTCATACTCCGGTTGATAGTGTCCCTGTCGAAATGAAAAAAATACCACAGGGCAATCACTCTTAGCATGATAAAGGTACATTTATCCGTGAATATAGAATATAGAAGTGGAGTTAGACGTGGCGTATAAGATTTTGGCAGTCTATGGTGACGTTCATGCGCGTGTGTTTGTGTGCTATTTCCTAGCCCACTGAGATACATACCATGCCGCAGTTTAACACGAATACCCCATTCAGACACAGTATACTGACTCCGAGTCGACCAGTCCTTGCTTTAGCCCTTTAATGCCGAGCGCCAGGCAGGGTAACAACCAAAGCCATCTTTTACCGTCTTTTGGTATGACACGGCCGGGGATCAAACAACCGACCTTCCGTTCACCGGACAGACGCTCTATCCACTTCACCATGGAGGTGGCCTAAGTGCCTTAAGGTAATATGAATATGCCTGATCACGTGACAGATCCAACGATGTGCTGCGAGACGGATACAACACATGTCGGCGCAAAGTGTTAACATGGTAACGCTGCACAACAATATTCACAGCTGACTCTATGTAGATATGTTGTGTCTGTGAAATAAACATGACGTTTCGAAGGATTGCATGCAAAAGAGAAGTAAACAAGATACATAATTATCCAATCGAAAACATATTGGAATATACAAACGAGATAAGGAGGGTCGATGATGTAATTTCAAAATCGCAAAAAGATCTAGGAAGTGGCGAGGACTTTTTACTGCGTACGCCATGTTCTCATGATGATAAAAACAAGAGGACGTATATTTCCTGTCAAGTGCCAGGCGTCCTTATATACAGTGTTTATTTTCCGACATCATATTCCAGGAAAGGATCCAGACAGTATCTTTCATCCCCGATCTTCACAAATTTAAGGGTATCTTAAATTTGATGTAACAAATAATATCTGCTTCCTGTTTATAATTAAAACATTGGGAAAATGTCTAAACAAGAAAAATATGTTTACCGGAAGATTTAACTCTTTTATCTCTATTCGGTCGTTTCGGTGTGATAAACTTTCTTCCAATTAAACATCACAACTTAAAATCCATAACTTTCCTCTGTAATTTAACTTGCTCGCGAAAACGTTATGATCGTTGCTGATGAGTGTTCAAAGAATGCAGTAATGGCTAAAGAATTTGCCAAGCTGCCTTGAGAAAAAAACAGGCGGATATATTTCAGATAATCAAAGCAATTCAATTTCACGTCGGGTTTCGATTAAGAGATTTGAGATTTTGCTTGAAGATGGCAGCAGACGATGACTTGTGAAACGGCGCACGTGCTATGACGAGTCCACGATTAATCGCCTGCTCGTGGATTTCGTGGCGCGTGCGCGCGTGTTGATCCGCCAGCTAGTCAATCACTTGTGGTGAGACAGCTGTTGGCAATTTCACACAAACTGAGCTATAGCGTCTGCTCGCCTTAAAATGACCGCAGGATTACCTTAACCTTCGCTAACTCATCGTCTTGGTAAATTGGTGATGCCACAAATAAAGATTATCAGACAAGCCACCTAGATTGTATTCTCGTATTCTCTTAACGAGAAGAAAATCTATGTATTGAAGCCGACAGCAGTTATTGCCCCTTGTATGAAACGGATACATGTAATTAGCACACGTGGGCTTCAGACTTGCTCATAGTCAAAAAGGAAGTGACGAAATATGTAGATTTATTCATGAGACCCCCGGTCCTATTTGTCGCGTTAGAATTCCCCACCATACCAAAAAGTTTCGATCTCTGAATACGCACGGAAAGGAACCATTTAGCAGCGGTCACGCATTGGGCTAGACAAATACTTATGTAGCGTGACTGTGCACGACTGAAAACCGGTCTTGCATCTCATAACAGGTAAATGATATTATATATTATCACCGATCCTTGCTTCCAAGTTGCTTGATTCCCATAGCGAGTTCCTTTTATCTTTACCTTCTTTAAAAATTGTTCACCGTATCAACTATAGTCTAAAATGTATAATAATCATAGAGACATATTGTTCCAAAAGTTACTCAGAATTGTCTATGTCCATTCAAAATTTCATTTTTACACTTCAGCAATAAATTTCCTTAGCACAAAAAAACCTACCAAACTGTTTGCCAAAATCAGATCTGATCTGTCTCGTAAAGCTTATCCTCAACTTGTCTAAAAAAAGCTCTTCCCATGTCAATGAAATCGAAACCTGCAACTTTCCATTTTTACCTGCGATGTGATTCCCAGGGCACAGATAAGATGTTTAAGAGCCCCTGTTCTTTTTGCCTCCAGTGCCCAATCCCATAGTTTATAATCCACACAGAACATGTATATTCCTACTCGGGGCGTCTCGAGCTTAGAGAGAGAGAGAAATCCATTCACAAATCTCTCCCTGTACCATCTCTCTGCTAAAGGAAGGATATAGCGCTGTTCTGCCTTCCGCTTGTGTTTGAAAGGTACCGGCGTTGAGAGATCGGTTTATGAGCCGTTGTTTGTGGAAACGCAGTTCTGACTTCAGCTGTCTTAATTTTCAGGTAGTATTATATGTTGTTTTGCACGTCATTTATTTTTGAAATAGTTATCCCTTTGTAACGTATATTATTCTGACGTTTTTAGCCAAAATGCTACCTACACCTGTTGGGTGATGGAACGGTGAATTTCACTTTCAGTAATGCTTATGAAATGCATCACCTTTACAATTTATCCGTAAATGAGTTTTCGTAATTAAATTCCATTTCAGATTAACTGGAAAATAGTTCCTATACGTTTTATGATGATTTATTGGTATTTTATATGTAGACTTGCGACTACCACGTGCTGAAGCAGCCTGTTCATTATAATTGGAAGGTTTTCATCTTCATAAAATGTATCTTGACAGATAGGTTTACTGACGAAAGATGTGTTCAAAGCATGATCTCGTCTCGTATGACCATTTGTTTTAATTTATTGCTCCGAACTGCTTTATCTGTTAAAAAAACATTCAATTATGGTTATTGTTGCTAGTCATCGCATGTTCTTCCTAATCGTCAATGGAGACATGTTATTTCTACAGCTATAATGGAGACATGTTCTTCCTACAGCTTCAGTGGAGACATGTTCTTCCTACAGCTTCAGTGGAGACATGTTCTTCCTAAGCTTCAGTGGAGACATGTTCTTCCTACAGCTTCAACAGAGACATGATCTTCCAACAGCTTCAGTGGAGACATGTTCTTCCTACAGCTTCAATGGAGACATGTTCTTCCTAAGCTTCAATGGAGACATGTTCTTCCTAAGCTTCAATGGAAACATGTTCTTCCTTAACTTCAGTGGAGACATGTTCTTCCTACAGCTTCAGTGGAGACATGTTCTTCCTAAGCTTCAACAGAGTCATGATCTTCCTACAGCTTCAATGGAGACATGTTCTTCCTACAGCTTCAATGGAGACATGATCTTCCTACAGCTTCAATGGAGACATGATCTTCCTACAGCTTCAATGGAGACATGTTCTTCCTACAGCTTCAATGGAGACATGTTCTTCCTAAGCTTCAATGGAGACATGTTCTTCCTACAGCTTCAACAGAGACATGATCTTCCAACAGCTTCAATGGAGACATGATCTTCCTACAGCTTCAATGGAGACGCGTTCTTCCTAATCTTAAATGGAGACATTGTATGAAAGCACTCAGATTACACGTATATATATATTTGTCCTATACATTAATCTGTTTTCTTAGTTATTTGTTAAAACAATAGGTATACTGGTCTGCAAAGGATAAAATTCAGAGCATACACACGGCAACGCGCAGCCAGCAGATGCGATTGGTTACGTTTTTTTCCTAGATCAAAGCGATGCCAGAGATATCGAGACGGTCACATGTGTCTACATTTCCATTAAGATTGTCATATTAGCTCCGGTTTTAACTCATGCGGGCATACTGTTGCTTCATGATGAAATGCTGAAAAATATCTTTCAATTTGTTTGCGTTAGCTAGCATTATGTGTGTACTAAATGACCTGAACATCAGTCGTCATTTGTACATATTATATAGATTATCGTCGTGTCAATACCTTTCCTGTAAATAGGACTGTCACGTTCATCGAAAGGACGCCATGCGGGGATTCCGTGACACGATCAGTCCGTGAACTCGTGGCGCTTCATCCGACTTACATGGGAACAGGAATTCGACTGCATGTCCCCGGTGGTGTGGATGATGCTCCTTGTTTCAGTCACTGGTTTAAGTCGTCCAAACTCGATAATGTATGCACCCTGATATGGCTGGAAGTTTGCTGACTGATGCGTTGAATAAAAACAATACTCAGTCACTCACTCATGTTGTGATCCTAGTCTGTCAGGCAGACCCTGAAACAAATATATCAAGTAAAGAGGGGCGGTCGGGTAGTCTAGTGGTTAAAGTGTTCGCTCGTCACGCCGAAGACCCGGGTTCGATTCCCGACATGGGTACAATGTGTGAAGCCCATTTCTGGTGTCCCCCGCCGTGATATTGCTGGAATATTGCTAAAAGCGGCGTAAAACCATATTCACTCACTCACTATCAAGTAAAGCCCATGCAAGTCTATATTAGTGGGCAAGCCTAGATTACTGCAATTTCAGGAAAGGAAGAGAGTTTCTGGGCTCCTTTCCTATTATATTTGTATTAAGATATTTCACCAACTGTTTCTTTTCAAGATATGTTCATTTCAGAGACTAGGTGTTAATATGGTTATGAATCGTACCTTTCCTTTCTTCACAGATACGTATTCAAGGGTGTATATTTCGGCGATACCGAGAAGAAAACTTCTTTCTGAATGGCGGGTGTGGTAGAAATCGATAGCGAGTTTCAGATGAAGGAGTACTTTCGTATTCTGGACACGAAGATTATAGGGTATATACCATACGATGAGTTCCATCTGATCATCAAAGGCTTCCAAGGGGAAATCTCTCTGACCGATGAGGAAGTCACCAACGTTTTGGACGTCGTCGACAACAACAAAGACGGAAGAATTACATTTAATGGTACGTACCTTAAACATGCATGAGGTACACATGTAGTCTGGAGAACATAGTGTGGGTATATGATATCTCAATACATGTGCTATTTGTAATGAGAACAATGCGTTGCAACATAATACAGGTATCAGTGGGACTAGGTAATGTAACATACAGTAAACTACGGTTATAACGAACACGCTTATAACGAACTGACGGATATAACGAACTTACTTTTTTGGTCCCGACTATTTGCTGTTGTTATACTGTATATATGCTTATAACGAACTACGGTTATAACGAACTAAAATTAGTAGTCCCTTTGAGTTCGTTATAACCGTACTTTACTGAATATGAATAGTGGTGGTGTTCTAGCATCGGTCATAATTTGACCATAAAGGTGACAAATATCAGTGAAAACAGTAGGAATTCTGTGTGATGATCATTTTGCACAATTTGAGGTGCCCATTCACAACACTATCCATTAAGAACCAATTGTGCCAACTTCTAGCCAGTATTCTGGAACGAGAGTTCTTACATGTGTGACAATGGCCTTGTCTTTGAATACATGTATGCACTAACGCGTTTCGAAAGGGAAAGATTGTCATCTGGTGAATGCGTGCTGCTGTTTATTTCTCATATATCCTAACGAAAAGCAACTTTCTTGTGATAACGACTGTTTGTATGTTGTGAGACAATTCCAGTGTGTTCATAGCCGATGGAAGAATGACATAGGTATTTGCAAGAACATAGAGTTATCATCGTTGCCGCAAGCACCATCTTCCTCCCATCGCCAAGGAAAATCACGTCTTGTTTATTTCTGCAAAAAAACCTCTTTGATAAACATACTATTTTTTTCCATGGCAAGATGCTTGATGTTAATCTCTGCAACCAAAATATAGGAATCATTACGACAGAAATGCCACATGTACAGTAAAGTACGGTTATAACGAACTCAAAGGGACTACTAATTTTAGTTCGTTATAACCGTAGTTCGTTATAAGCATATATACAGTATAACAACAGCAAATAGTCGGGACCAAAAAAGTAAGTTCGTTATATCCGTCAGTTCGTTATAAGCGTGTTCGTTATAACCGTAGTTTACTGTAATACAATCGTAATTTCTGTGTAGAGCAAACCCCTATCAATACGGACGGTATCGCTCAAAGTGGAATTTGCCGATTAAGGAAAGACGGTTGAGGAGTAATGTCTCTCAAGACCCTTTCCGTGATATTTTGTCGTTTAACAAAAGAAAGGAGTACGGATTAGCGAGGCGTAACTACAGTAAACTACGGATATAACGGACTCAAAGGGACCTCTTATTTTAATTCGTTATAACCGTAGTTCGTTATAAGCATATGTACAGCATACATACAGCAAAAGGACGGGACCAAGAAATTGTTCGTTATATCCGTCAGTTCGTTGTAAGCGTGTTCGTTATAAACGTAGTTTACTGTGTTCATTTATTCGTGTCTTCTTCTTCGTGACGTGCAGCCGGACATGCTTATCTTTGTCCCGAACACCTGGGAATCCATTCATGTAATTTAAACTACTATGTTGCCTTTTGCGTCCAATGGAATATGTTTCGCCTGATAATGGAGTTATTCTCTGGTGTTGACGTTCCATAGTATACATAATTGTCAACTCAAACGCCTTGTCACAACAATGTATAATGAAAGCAAAGATATGTAGACAACATACCAGAGTCATGCCGCCATGGAGATATCGGCTATATTACACAGGTGTCATAACCCTCTTGGGATAGTGTCAGTCAAGGACAACACCATGACCTCTAAGCACCGACATAGTTCTTTTACCCTGTGAACTTATTTACCCTATTAGCAACACCAAATTCTTCGTTGAAGATGATCTCTTAAATAGGCTTTGTTTTATTTCCATCGCTGTATAATTTATTACTTTTAAATGAGATTTATATTTTTATTTTTTTATTTGTTGAGTAGTCATGGCATAATGTCAGACGCGAGGGGTTTTAAAGTTTAAGTCAATATTGACTTGTGGATTTCTCCTTCGCTAATGTCGCATTGAACGGATAAAGGTAGAGTTGAAATCCACAGCTCAACTTTGTCTCCATTGTTACTTAAATATATTCAAAAATTTAACACTCTTCTGTGTACGTTACTTCATGTCAAAACAACAACATATCTTATCGGATTTCACGATGGTGCTAAGGTGATATCGTGTTTTCCCTTGCTATCATGTTATCAAGATAAACTAGTTCTCTGTAGCGTATTAACCTGGTAGCCAATCTTAATATGGACTAAAGACGAATCAAGTTCGAAGGTCATAACTGGCACAGAGTATCATGAACAAGCTTTGATAGTTCCTCCCAAGGGATTCCCTATGCTCATATGCAAACACAACATTTATCTGAGTTCACCGACACAATTGTGGTAATTACACGAGAGTCCTCAATGTATTAACAAGTAGCATGCGATAAGAGGCTTAACGGTACCCCATCACCCTCAGATACCTCAGTGATTCACTGGCACTCGTTATCGCTCTCTGTAATTATGACTGCAAAGTGCTTACACGTAGGTCGAAAAGTGTATCTAAACAGCTGAAGTGTTCCACCTCTAATCGTCAAAGAATTTAAAAGCCATTGTTTACATCACGCATAGGACAAAAACAAACAAATGAAAAAAGTTCACGTTGAACAGGTAAACGCGACGGGAAAGCATTTGGCTATAATGAGCACTTGCTCAGGGAACAAGGGTGTTGAACTGCCATACTGGAAGGTGATTAACGGAAGCTGGAGAGAAAGATGGAAGGTCTGGTGTTCCATCACAGTGATAGATCTAGAGTGTGACGGATGGAAAATGGATGGAAACTGTACCTCCCAGTGACCTTCAAACAGAACCTTGGCAGTTTTATTTGTATGTGTCGACTACCTATGATGTTATTTCCCATGAAAGCCATATCAAAGCTACAACGCATTCAGAACTCTGCGGCTAGATGCATCTCTAAAGTTCCAAGATCCAATCACATCAGTCCTGTCCTCAAAGCACTACACTGGCTTCCAGTCTCCTTTCGTATACACTATAAGATATGTGTCATCACTCACGACTGCCTCAACAATAGCGACTATCCAGACTATCTCAAAGATCTTATATCTCTGTACAGTCCAGAGCGTGCTCTCCGATCCTCTGGTGGAACTCTACTGTATCAGCCTCTGTCTACTTCTGCTATGTCTGACCGTGCCTTCTCCTTTTGCAGTCCACAGTTATGGAACGCTTTGCCTTTGAATCTGAGAAACTCTGCTACTAAGGAAACATTTAAGTCTCTCCTCAAAACCCACTTCTTCACCTCAGCTTTTCAATAGATCTCCTTATTGTTGGCATATGTACATAGATATTACTTTTTAACCTTGTCACAGCGCCAGTGAGCAACTGTCGATGGATATTAGGCGCTTTACAAATCAATTATTATTAATTATTATTATTTTTTAATCAAATAACGAACAACGGTTACTATTATTCTGTTTTTATATAGTGAATGAGCAACACATCATGCCAACAAATTGAAATCTTTGAAACTTCATTAGTTTCATTCTTGGTGTACAGTGAGACCCCGTTTTTAATCCGCACCCTTTCCTGTCAATTCGTCCGGATTAACGAATGTCTGGATTAACGAAACATTGGTAAGTAGTAGTGTCCCTTTAACTTTATAGACGTTCCCAAAGTAATCAATCGGAATACAGGGTGTCCGGAATACCGGGTGTCAGGATTAACAGTGTCCGGAGTAATGAGATTGGTCTGTAATGATCTAAAATATATATCTTTGAACTTACATTATATGACTATGGGATGGTGAATGTGCTTTCTTTAAGGTATTACAACAGTAAAATTGAGGTTAAACATAACTAAGTGATCTTGTGGTCCATGTTTTCATTTTGCTTTTCGTTTTTGTTTATATAAAGGTCGTAAAATGAAAATAGAAGGGTCTTACTTTAAACGTACTTTTGAAATTACACAACACGCATTTTTTTAAAACAACCATGGGATCTCTACTGTTTCCTCGTCTTCATTCTAACGGTACAAATGCAGTAATCAACGTCAGACTTGGGCAATAACTCCCGTATCCCCTTGATCTCACTCACGGAGCGTGTTGGATAGCCTCGATGTTCTTTACCGACAAATTACAGCGGCAAAATAAAACACTCGCCCACTTCACTGTCTTCGCACCTGACTAATACAAGTCAGAATTAATGAGTATGTGGCACCCACTAGCCGGCTGTATCCCTATGATGGATGGAGGCAGTGCAGGAGAAGCTATTCCCACACTGCCCATGGGAAACAGTTCGTTGATTCATGCCACTTGATAGTTCGTACTTTTGTACATATTTAGCATGATTGAGGATTGTTCTTTTGCAGATTAAGTGCAATTTATTGAACCATATGATCGAAGTGTCATATTGATGGTGCGATATCACTGAAGTGGATTGTCGTTAATATTCATTACTTGCTCTGTAATATGATTTTTTATCAGCGCTATCCGGCAGATATGTTGCCGATGCGAAACTTAATTTTAACTCACTCACTCACACTGTATGCAGGGTTGTAAGTTGTTTTGCAGACATTAACGTAGGTTGTTGTGATTGACGGAGTACATCCTTACCGATGATGGTTATTATTTGAACGAAACAATGAGTTATTATTTAATAAATACATATTATTCGAGTTTTACATTCGTTATATTCATATCGTTATCATTGCTGTTTAAGCTTTTAGTCATATCTTCAAACGCCGCTCGTGTCGCTTCAAGTAGCTTTTTCGTTTTTATGGATAAGTTATAAACATTTTAAGCAAGCCTGAGAGCAACGACCTCATCACCAACGCATCCATCGTCACCCCGCGCCATCGCATGTTCATACACTAATAATGACTTCATGAATCACCTTGGCCACGAATATCCCACCACCGTACTGTGACGTCATAATCGACCGATTCTTGCAGGGAACTGTTGTATTTCGTCGCGATGTCTGTATATTCAGTACCTAGGACTTATAT